CATGTGGGTCAGGTCTGCGTGTGTTTTTGTCACATTGCTTTAATCGCTTGAGGTAAGTTAGCCGTTACTAATGTTATTCCTCTCAGACTCGACGGCAAGCTTCTGTTCTTTCTCTGCTGATGCAGCATCTAGTCAAAAAATTTTTTATTTTATAATGATATGGCAATGTGTACTTAAGTGTTCTGCATTCATACCATTTCGCTGTCTGTGTTTTAAATGCGCATCAAGTGCTCAGCGCTCTCCGTGCAGCTTGTAATCTCCGTGCTCGCGCTGCCTCACGTGTATGTAAACAACTCAGCCAGTGAGTTTGTTATGTGTCCTCAGGTGTCCTCTCGCTCTGTATAATGATAGCAGTCTCTTCAGTGCTCTCGTACTGTGTAGTCTCAGCCTCAGACGTCACGCCCACGGAACGTTGGCTAAAGCCGTCAGTCTGAAGGTCTGGCTACGCGAGACTACGTACTGTGTAATGACAGTGCACACTTCTCAGCCGCTCCAGCAACTAATTAATTTAAAAAAGTAACGGACAACGCGCCATATGGTAACGGTAACGGAGTTAATTTATTTAAAAAGTAATGCGTTACAGTATTAGTTACTGTCAAAAGTAACTGCGTTACAGTAACGCGTTAATAGTAACGCGTTACTGCCCAACACTGGTTGTGGAGACCATACTTCACAAAATTAACGGAATGCATAGCCGATATAAAAAATTGGATGACTAGTAATTTCCTACTACTAAATTCTGAAAAAACAGAGATTCTAATTATTGGACAAAAAACTTCCACTCCTAATAACCTAGAATACTGTCTAACACTAGATGGCTGCTCTGTTAAGTCTTCGTCGTCGGTTAGGAACCTGGGTGTGCTCTTTGATACCAATCTCTCATTTGAAAGTCACGTGTCTAGTATCTGTAAAACCGCATTTTTCCATCTTAAAAACATATCTAAATTACGCCATATGCTCTCATTAACAAATGCGGAACAATTAGTCCATGCGTTCATGACCTCAAGGCTAGATTATTGTAATGCTCTACTGGGTGGTTGCCCTGCACGCTTAATACATAAACTACAGCTAGTTCAAAACGCAGCAGCTCGAGTTCTTACCAGAACCAGGAAATATGACCATATTAGCCCGGTTCTGTCAACACTGCATTGGCTGCCTATTAAACATCGTATAAATTTTAAAATATTGTTGATTACTTACAAAGCACTAAATGGTTTAGCTCCGCAGTACTTGAGCGAGCTTTTATAGCATTATAGTCCTTCACTTCTATTGCGATCTCAAAATTCCGTCCAGTTGATAATACCTAGAATATCTAAATCGACTGCTGGCGGGAGATCCTTTTCTTATTTAGCACCAAAACTTTGGAACAGTCTTCCTACCATTGTCCGGGAAGCAGACACACTCTGTCAGTTCAAAGCTAGACTAAAAACACATCTCTTTGACCTAGCATACACATAATACATTATAGACTTCTATAATTCAATGTTAGGCTGCATAGATTAGGTCAGCCGGAACTGGGAACACTTCCCTTAAATCCAGATGTACTCGTTACATCATAAGAAGAATGGCATCTACGCTAACTTTAGTGTCTTTGTTTATCCCGAGGTTTTCCTGCAGCATGCCGGATCCATGCCGGATCCAGGCCGTATCCAGATCTGACGAAGGAGATTCGCCTGGACCCGATGACAATGCAGTGCTGAAGTGTCAACTATCCTCTCCCTATGGAGGATCCCTTTCCCACTCTACAGATAAAGCGTTGTTGAAAATCCGGTTCGCGTACCCCGAAGTGATAAAATAAAATTCTGTATCAAATTTATAGGCAAGACAAGTAGTTTGTTTAGGCATGGTTTGTAGGGAAATTACATACCTGCGCACACATATTCAAACGAATATAACTATAGAATCAATTTTTAATGCGCATGTGAACGCCATCCGGTCACAGGTTCGCGTTTAAAGTCTGTTTAGAGAGAACGCCGTCATCTTAGTGGCCCCTAATGTAATAACAAATGATAATTTTGCTGGAAGTGAATCAATCAAAACCAACTTTAGCCGAAATAACACTATTCAAAATCGCTATAAAGCCAAAACAATCTCTGTTACCGTAAATTGTATGTTTATCTCTGTAAAGCTGCTTTGAAACAATCTCCATTGTTAAAAGCGCTATATAAATGAAGATGACTTGACTTGACTTGACTTCTCTCCAGAGCTCCCTCCACAAGGAAACTGTATGTATTAAGTGATGGGTTTTCACTTCATATTGCAGATCTCGGACAGTGGGGCCCAGTTTACTGCCCGATTGGTACAGTGCTGGAGTTACTGCGGGTTCGTTTTTCCGCAGGGTTATCCCCTTCCACACTGAAGGTGTACGTGGTGGCCTTAGTGCCTACCATGTCCCTTTTGGTGGTATTTCCCCGAGGGGGGGGGGGGGGGGGGGGGGATCTTTGTTCATTTCCTCCGTGGTGCTTTTAGACCAGGATAGGAGTATGGCGGCTTAGAAGCCTTATTATATACAGTCGTGCCCAGAATTAATCATACCCCTGGTAAATATGATAAAAAATGACTATAAAAAATAAATCTGCATCGTTTATCCTTTTGATCTTTCATTAAAAAAATTGGCAAAATCCTAACCTTTCATTGAAGTAAAAGATTTGAAAGTGGGGGGGAAATCACATTATAAAATAAATGTTTTTCTCCAAAACACGTTGGCCACAATTATTCATACCCTTTTATTAAATACCTTTTTGCAATCTCCTTTTGCCAAGATAACTACTCTGAGTCTTCTCTATAATGTCTGATGAGTTTGGAGAACACCTGACAAGAGATCAGAGACCATTCCTCCATACAGAATCTCTCCAGATCCTTCAGATTCCCAGATCCATGTTGGTGCTTCTTCTCTTTAGTTCAGCCCACTCATTTTCTATAGGGTTCAGGTCAGGGAACTGGGACGGTCATGGCAGAAGCTTCATTTTGTGCTCCCTAACACATTTTTGTGTTGATTTTGATGTTTGTTTTGGATCGTTGTCCTGATGGAAGATCCAACCACGGCCCATTATAAGATTTCTATCAGAAGGCGTCAGGTTTTGATTTTTGATCTGTTGATATTTGATAGAATCCACAATGCCATGTATCTGAACAAGAAGTCCAGGACCTCCAGCAGAAAAATAGGCCCACAACATTAAAGATCCAATGGTATATTAAATTGTACACATGGGATACTTTTTATCCTTGTGTGCACCAAACCCATCTAGTGTGTTTGATGCCAAAAAGCTCTTTTTTTAGTTTCATCTGACCACAGAACCCTGTGCCGTTTGAAGATCCAGTCGTGTCTGACCACTGAATATGCTGGAGTTTGTATTTGGATGAGCGAGGAGCATTTTTCTTAAATATTTGTATAGGCTTTCTGACCCCAAGACTCAAGTAATCTCTGCAATTCTCCAACTGTGATCGTTGGAGAGTCTTTGGCCACTCAAACTTTCATCCTCACCGTCCATTAAGAAAATATAGACACACGTCCTCTTCCTGGCAGATTCATAACATCTTTAGTTGATTATAACTTCTTAATTATTGCCCTGATGGTCAAAATGGGATTTTTCAATTCTTTAGCTATTTTCTTACATCCACTTTCTATTTTGTGATGCTCAACAATCTTTTGATGCACATCAGAACCATGTTCTGTGGTTTTATTCATTGTCATGGATGATTAAGGGAATTTGGCCTTTGTGTTTCCTCATATTTAAACTCCTGTGAAACAAGAAGTCATGGCTGGACAATTTCATGTTCCTAGTCACCCTGGTGTGCTAAAAAAGGTAAATATTAATGGGAATATACTTCATAGATATTTTATTCATGAAAAATTCTAGGGGTATGAATAATTGTGGCCAACGTGTTTTGGAGAAAAATATTTATTTTATAATGTGATTTTCCCCCCCATTTTCAATTCTTTTACTTCAATGAAAGGTTAGATTTTTGCCAATTTTTTTAAGGAAAGATCAAAAGGATAAACGATGCAGATTTATTTTTTTACAGCCATTTTTGATCATATTTACCAGGGGTATGATTAATTCTGGGCACGACTGTAAGTAGTTATCCCTGTATGATGTGTTATGCGGCGGGCTGGTCCTCTCCACTCACATTCGTAAGGTTTTACAACTTCGACCTGGGTGCTTCCCCAGGTTCACAGGTGCTCTTGTCTCAGTTGTGCTCTCAGTATTCACACAGACAGGCTCTTGTTCGTATGGCGTGTTGGGCATTCTCGTTCCCAAAGCGTCATTGACGCGTCACTATGCCATACTTCCTACATCCCTGTGATCGACTTGCTTCGGCCTTTATCTAAGCTAGCGTGGTTCTAAACCGGATGTGCTTTTATCCTTTCCTGGTCGTGACGTCACCCGCCCGTGACGCTCACTCTCGCCGTTGGACTAGTTGACATAAGTGCTTCAGACGCAGTCATGCAGGAGCGTTCCCAAAGCGTCATCGACGCATCGTCTCCTTCCCTTCTCAGGGAACAAGGGTTACAGTCGTAACCTGAGACGTTCTATTTGCTTTTGATGCAACGTGAAGCTCGCATCTGGTGTAGGAACATGTGTCAGCAGTTAAGAGACTGAACGCCAGTGGGGGGGGGCCTTTGAGGAGATGAAGTTTCATATACAAATGTATTTTCCTGTGTGACGTCACAGATCCCACAATTTCAAAACGAGAAATTTTAATTTTAAGCAGAAAGTTTTATTGGTATAAAGACCTGTTATATGTAAAAAGACCAAGGCAAATTTGATTTCTCATGTCATGACCCTTTTAAAAATGACAAAAAACTCACAAACAGCAATATATAGGTGATCAAATATTTTAGAGCAAAGCACTACAGACATAAGATTTCGCTTATTTACGTGACTTTTCCAGGTCTGGACATCAGATTTTTAAAACTTGATGAACTTTTATGTTGTCCATGACTGTGGGAACACTGTTTAACACAAACAAAAAGCTATATCCACAGTTGGGTTTACCTGCGAAACTCATTGCGGTCTCCTGCTTGCATCACAGCCACGATGGTGTTTGTCACAGAAGTGCCGATATTGGCACCCATGATGATTGGCACTGCCGACTTCACCTCCAACACTGAATTTACAGTGAATAATTATATTTACGCTACCATTCAGAAGTTGAAAATGTTTTTGAAATAAGTGTCTTATGCTCACCAAGACTGCATTTATCAAAAATACAGAAAACAAAACTAATGTTACTACAATTAAAAATGACTTTTCTATTGTATTATTTTTAAAATCTCATTTATTCCTGTTATCGAAGCTGTGTTTTCAGTCTTCAGTGTCACATGATCCTTCAGAAATCACTCTAATATGATGATTTCATGATCAAGAGAATACTCAATAAAAGTATTAATATCCTAAAATATCTTACTGACCCCAACGGTAGTGTACGTCATACTCTAATACAATTCAACTAGCAATTGAGATTAAACACTTAATACGACAGAATCAAGATGAATGCGTTACAATGAACAAATTAATGTCATTTCCAAGAGTCATTTGAGGTGGAAGTGCGTTAAGGCAACGGCTGCACACTTTACAGCGTGGATATCGATTTCTTTTTACTTTGAAACAATCTGTGCGACTGTTGTTACATGGAGGTGCTTATCATGTATCAGATACCTGTATGAGCGCGAGTCAGAAACACACACACACACTCACATCCAGATGACACCATGCTGACCACAATGGAGGATGAGGTGCTTGAGCTCTGAACCAGAACAGTGACCAGAACTCCGATCACCAGCCCAGCCACCGGGTTAGACAGGACGGCATTGTCCTGGAAGATATCGCCCGCTGCCTTCCCTGCACACAGTGACAGAACCACAATATATCTATTTCTGTTCACAGATAACACGCCTCTTCTACACATTAACCATGTTAAACTGACGTGCGCTTAGATAGAGTGCCACTTGTTTGAAGTACATGTCCACCTTCAACCTACAAAAGATAAAACACTTTAACACCCCCCCCTCCCTGTTTGACTAATATAGTTTCAATAGAGTAAAATATGATTAATATCCAGTGTTGGGTAAGTGCTTAAAAAGTAGGCCTATTTACAAGTAGTGGTAACTCTTTAGAATACTGTTCCTTCATTAATGAATAACTACGCAGGAACACACTATTAACATTCAAGTACCTACTATTAACTAACAAGAAACTCTGATTAATAAATTAGTAGGTAATAGTGCTCAGTTGAATGTGGTGGTTCACTAGTAGCTAATCAGTAACTACTATTTTTTGCATACCTCCCAGATAACTACTATGTACAGGTTCAGAATTCACATGAATGATGCATAATTTATAATAAAAGGTAACGGTAACCCTCTAGTAATTACTCAAGGGTTACTACATATTTGTATCAGTATCTAAAGTGAAAAACATGATAACTACCTAATATTGACTGAAGTCATTGTAAGCTTTTCAGTTTTTTTGTAAGATTTTGAATAGTAATTCCTTTTGATGAATTTGGTAACACTTTCGTCATCACTAGTGTGTTCTCATGATCTCCACTTTAGATACTGATCCAAATAACTAGTAGTTCCTTTAGAAAGATGTAGTAACACTTGAGTCATTACTAATGGGTTACCATTACCTTATATTATACATTACACATTAATAATAAACCTGTAAACAGTAGTTCTTAGTCTTCCGTGAGGTATGAAAAATAGTAGTTATTGATTAGCTAAAAGTGAACTACCACATTCAACTATTACTCACCAATTCATTAATCAGAGTTTCTTGTTAGTTACTAGTGTGTTACTCATTTGTTACTGTCACGGTGTGGGTTTTGTGTTTTGTTCCTTGTTCTTGTCTGTCATGTGATTCCCTGTTTGTCATGTTATCCTGCCATGTGTCTTGTTTCATGTTCAGCTGTTCCCCGTTTTGTTGATTAGTCTCCACTTGTGTTTCTGATTAACCACGCCCCCTTGTTATCTTGTTTAGCTTGTTTGTCTGTGTATTTAAACCCCTGTGTTTCAGTTGTTGGCTGTCGGTTGTTGTTTAATGTTGCGTCTAGTCTGAGTACCGTGTTCCTAGTTCTGAGTTTACCCTGGATTACCTGTTTGTTGGATTATTAAAGTGCTTGCATTTGGATTCACTCTCTGCTTCATTCCTGCCAGTTCGTAACAGAACAACCGACCGCAAATGAATCCAGCAGCACGGATCTCGCCAGATCTTCCCAGCATGAGCCGGGAGTTCGCTGGAGAGACCGCAGCCTTAGCCCTAAGGAGCCCTGATCTGTTTCAGTATACCTGGGGGTTTGCCCCCCTCGCTGCCTCCTGCTCTCTCGGAGATGAGGCGATCAAGCTGTGTTACCGGCTAGGGGCTAAGGAGGTCGACCCGAGGGAGCTCCCCGATCTCTCGGGTCTGGACTGGGGAGAGGCACTCTCCAGATGCCTGGAGAGTTTCCTCCCGTGGTATGCCAGGTCATCACCTGATCTCCGCATCCAGCCAGAGCTTCACGTCCCTTCTGCCGATCCAGAGACTGAGCTTCACGTCACTTCTGCCGATCCTGAGCCTGATCCTGAGCCTGATCCTCTCCCTCTTTTACCGTTCACGTCACGTCTGCTCAGCCAGAGACCGTCCACGTCACGTCTGCCCAGCCAGAGACTGTTCACGTCACGTCTGCTCAACCAGAGACCGTCCACGTCACGTCTGCCCAGCCAGAGACTGTTCACGTCACGTCTGCCCAGCCAGAGACTGTTCACGTCACGTCTGCCCAGCCAGAGACTGTTCACGTCACGTCTGCTCAGCCAGAGACCGTCCACGTCACGTCTGCTCAGCCAGAGACTGTTCACGTCACATCTGCTCAGCCAGAGACTGGTCACGCCATGTGTGCGCCGCCTGAACCCTCAGTGACCGCAACACTGGCCATTATGGCCACAGCCATGTGGTGTGTGTGGGCTGCGCACACACTAGAGCCAGTGTGTGTGTCTGTTCCCGAGCCAGTGGGTGTGCCTGTCCCCGAGCCAGTGTGTATGTCTGTTCTCGAGCCAGTGTGTGTGTCTGTTCCCGAGTTGCCGTGGCCGCCCGAGGGGTCTTCACCGCCGTGGCCGCCCGAGGGGTCTTCACCGCCGTGGCCGCCCGAGGGGTCTTCACCGCCGTGGCCGCCCGAGAGGTCTTCACCGCCGTGGCCGCCCGAGGGGTCTTCACCGCCGTGGCCGCCCGAGGGGTCTTCACCGCCGTGGCCGCCCGAGAGGTCTTCACCGCCGTGGCCGCCCGAGGGGTCTTCACCGCCGTGGCCGCCCGATGGGTCTTCACCGCCGTGGCCGCCCGAGAGGTCTTCACCGCCGTGGCCGCCCGAGGGGTCTTCACCGCCGTGGCCGCCCGATGGGTCTTCACCGCCGTGGCCGCCCGAGGGGTCTTCACCGCCGTGGCCGCCCGATGGGTCTTCACCGCCGTGGCCGCCCGAGAGGTCTTCAGCGCCGTGGCCGCCCGAGGGGTCTTCACCGCCGTGGCCGCCCGAGGGGTCTTCACCGCCGTGGCCGCCCGATGGGTCTTCACCGCCGTGGCCGCCCGAGAGGTCTTCAGCGCCGTGGCCGCCCGAGGGGTCTTCACCGCCGTGGCCGCCCGAGGGGTCTTCACCGCCGTGGCCGCCCGAGAGGTCTTCACCGCCGTGGCCGCCCGAGGGGTCTTAACCGCCGTGGCCGCCCGAGGGGTCTTTACCGCCGTGGCCGCCCGAGAGGTCTTCACCGCCGTGGCCGCCCGAGGGGTCTTCACCGCCGTGGCCGCCCGAGAGGTCTTCACCGCCGTGGCCGCCCGAGGGGTCTTCACCGCCGTGGCCGCCCGAGGGGTCTTCTCCGCCCTGGTCGTCTGCGCGCCCTTGCAATGCCCTGGTCCCATTTCCCTGCACAGACTTGGCCCTCCTTCCCTCCCCCAAGACCACCTCCGCATCACCACCCTCCGGAACTTGTGTATTTTTGTTTTAAGGGGCGTCGGGAGCCGCCCATAGGGGGGGGGGGGGGGGCTATGTCACGGTGTGGGTTTTGTGTTTTGTTCCTTGTTCTTGTCTGTCATGTGATTCCCTGTTTGTCATGTTATCCTGCCATGTGTCTTGTTTCATGTTCAGCTGTTCCCCGTTTTGTTGATTAGTCTCCACTTGTGTTTCTGATTAACCACGCCCCCTTGTTATCTTGTTTAGCTTGTTTGTCTGTGTATTTAAACCCCTGTGTTTCAGTTGTTGGCTGTCGGTTGTTGTTTAATGTTGCGTCTAGTCTGAGTACCTTGTTCCTAGTTCTGAGTTTACACTGGATTACCTGTTTGTTGGATTATTAAAGTGCTTGCATTTGGATTCACTCTCTGCTTCATTCCTGCCAGTTCCTAACAGTTACTGAGTAGTAGCTTTCATTAATGAAGCAACAGCATTCTAAAGTGTTACCCATGTAGTTACTAATTACATCTTCAACAGTGTAATTAGATTACTAATTACTCTCTAAAAAATAAAGCATTACTTTTTAATTATTACTTTCTAAATCCCATATCAACATTGAGCAGCTGAACAATACAAGGATAGACGTGAAACTGCTCTTAATTCTTTCAAAATAAATAATATAAAATTGCATAAATTATTCTTGAACTGACCAAAGTATGTAAGGGACATTAAAAACATACATTTTAACATTAGATGTTACATTTTGATGTTAAACCCACTTGTTTTATAGAATTGTTCTAGTCTAAAGAGTATTTAATGCAATTACATCAGAAGTAATTCTGATGAATAAAAGAAGTAAAAAGAGAAATTAAGAGTAAAGGGAAAGTAATTAAATTACAGTTATTGCTTGTCAATGCATTACACCCAACACTGTTATTATCCTATAGTACAGTTGCTTATGTTTCAATGATTGAATAGAGTATAGAGTACTTTTATAGTTTAGTAAAGCATAGAAGAGTTCTTAAGTTAATAAATAAGACAAAAATAGTTATACAGGAAGAAAAAGGACAACATAGAAGAGTTACACAGCAAAGTAGTAAAAAAGTATTAAAAGTGAAAAAAGTCAGTAAACTTCTATGGCAAAAGACAGTCCTAAAAGTTTTTAGATGAATAAATGATTCACATTTTAAAATACTCTAATCTAAATTAAAATGCTCAACAACAAAAAAAAACTAAGAATTGTTTATAACTAAGACTATTTATTTAAGAAAGCTGAAATAACGTTTTACACTCAATAACTATTGATTTCATTGAAGAACTCATTTAAAAAGCAGCTTTTAAATGTTTTATAGAATGACTTTTCAGCATAGGACAGGGTGATATTGATAAAGTGAGAGAATATCAAGTACTTTTTATAGCAATAATTGATTAAAGTGGTGAAAATCAAGCTTGCAATGTAGTTTATATGTCTATGTGGTGTTTTTAATATGCTTTAAGACAAACCATGTGCAAATTCATAAGTCGACAGCATTGCTGAGTATTTTCTCCTTAAAACTGCAGTGAACCAAAGATCGCTGGTGTTTCTGACGTCACAAACTACCTTGTAACCAATCAGGGGTGCGTTTCCCAAAGCCAACTATGGTAGCAAGTTCCGTCATTACCAATAGAGTTCAATGGAAATTGCGATCATATAGTTGGCCAACGATGCTTTTGGGAAACGCACCCCTGATCAACGTGTGTCATCGAGTGGATCTCTGAGCTGAGTGAGTGAGTGAGTGAGAGGAGGCGGGGCTAATTTACATATTTATAGAACCGCATCCTAAATAAGGCAAGGGTGTAGAGTTACATTCAAGCTATTTTAAGCCATGAAGATTTTTTTTTTCCATGGACAAAACGTGTCAGTTTGAGATCAGAGATGAGTTTTAATGGATAAAATTGACTACAGGGGAACTTTAAATGCCAGCGTAGTGCAGCGCACAATACAGGCAGTGTTTACATGCAATGCGTTTCAGAATCAAATGGCAAAACAAATTAGAGAGAATGAGCTATATGTATTCCTATTTTGCAGAAAAAACATTTATCTATTCCTGGAAAATATATATTCCAGTAACAGATAATTATTTATTTCTTCATTGTTATTTATACACACACACAGCTTTGGCCAATGCCTCATGTTTCAGCACCTTCCCGGGGTTATTTGGCACGTTTCAAAAGTCTTTGCCAAAATACCTGTTCACTTTATATGGCACTATTTAGTACAGCACAATTTTCTCTTGCTCTAACTTATTTTAAAAGAAAAAACAAATATGCAAAGTTCAAAGAAGTTAAAGAAAGTTTGTCGTTACCTCCGACCAGCTGGAAAGCGGAGCTGAGGATGTCCAGCGAGCAGACGAACACATAGAGCAAACCCACCAGGAGAACGAACTTCACGACGGACTTGAGAACGCGCAGAACTTTCCCCTTCGTGTCGAGATCTGCGGGAGAAGGACACACACACACACACACACACACACACACACACACACACACACACACACAAAGAGTGTGAGGCGCGCGCTGGGTTCAGTTCAGTCCGGCTGCTCGTGCGCTGCTCTGCTCTGCTCTTACCGGACCACTTCTCCCCGGTGTCCCGGAGCTCGGGAAGATCCCACGGGTCCTCCTCCGGCTCGGACTCTTCTGCCGCCGTGTAGGACCGAGGTTCGGGTTCGAACGCATCTTTGACCGGGCGGTCTGCGTCTGTGAGAGTAAATATATGCCGACCGCATGAGAGGAAAGAAGCAGGGAAAGGGAAAAGGGGGGAAGGAAGTGCGCCCCGGTGTGGAAGTGGAAGTGGATTTATACGGGACACGTACCGAGTTCCGGCGGCGTGGCGAGATGAGCCTCGGCTGTCGGTGCCATTGCCTTCAGTTACAACACACATACAACACACATTATCAGTTAGGTCAAACATCCTTTCTTTCTTTCTTTCTTTCTTTCTTTCTTTCTTTCTTTCTTTCTTTCTTTCTTTCTTTCTTTCTTTCTTTCTTTCTTTCTTTCTTTCTTAAATAAAAGTTCTTTCTTTCTTTATTTCGTTCTAAGTAAACTTTCTTTCTTTCTTTCTTTCTTTCTTTCTTTCTTTCTTTCTTTCTTAAATAAAAGTTCTTTCTTTCTTTATTTCGTTCTAAGTAAACTTTCTTTCTTTCTTTCTTTCTTTCTTTCTTTCTTGCTAAGTAAAAGTATAAAGCAGTGATGAAAACAAGAAACAAGAAAAAAACAATTAACAGTTAAAATTCTATTTAGAAATCATGTTTACAAACAATAAACAGCTTCAAGTAAATATGTAAATATAAAAGTAAAAAATGAAGTCTTTCTTTTTATAAAGCAGTGATGAAAACAATAAACAAGAAAATTAAAAGTAAAAAAGTTATTTTCTATTTAGATAGTAGTAATTACAAACAATAAACAACTTAAAGTATGTAAACAAAAGTAAACAAGTAAAAGTCGTTCATTCTTTCTCAGTGATCTAGTCTTCATGATTGTCGGCTCACCGCTGCTGGGATTGTGGTGGATGTGTTAATATCTCACAAATGCACACAGATTCATTGTTTACTTATATATACTGAGAAATGATCAGTCTGTCAGCAGAGCATTCGTCAATATTCTGTCATTTCCACCACACCATTAAGCAACCGTTTATTCACTCCCCGACACTCATGATTAAACACTCATCTGCAGTGAGCACATGCTTGCTCTGATACAGCCAGATCACAAGAGCCTCAAAACATACAAAAGCATAAAAATATCTATCGATCTGTTAAAACAAGCTTGCTTTGCAAAGCACTAAGCAAACTGATTTTAGACCGATGTTCCTACCTGTCCTGTGAGTGTGTGGTGTATGTAAGTCCAGGATCTCCCTGTAGAGGAGGCGCAGGTGGGTTATATACACCTGCAGCCGGAGAGCCCGCGCGTGTCACTGCTCTAAAGTCCAGAGCGGGTGGTCCTTCACTTCACCTCACCTCACCGCACTCAGTGCATGCAGGCAAATATAGGCCAAGTATCAGTGATGTAACCTTGAAATAAAACACAATGTGTCCTTTTACTGTACAATTGCTAAAAAAAAGTATCCTGTATTTTCTCTCAGTAAATCTTTGAAAATACCTATTCTATTCTATTCTATTCAAGGGGCAGTTAAATCGGCAGCTATTCATTACTATATCTAATAAGTGAGAAGTAGCATACCGGTACTTAAATTGGTACCAGATTGGTGTTATTAACCTGATAGTTGCCCTGACATTCACTGGCCCCGTCTAAATATATAAATAAAGTCATTGCTTTCATTGTTTTTGACCTATAATTTTACCATACCAACATTTTAGACAATTCTTCTCGATTCCAATTTACGGTCACAGCAAAAACGAATTCTAACTAATAGAAAGTTCAAATATTAAAGACAAGTAAATTCAACAATAAAATAAGAACAAATAAACAAACAACAAGCAATAGCTCAAATTAGTTCAAGAGAACAAAGATCAAATTAAACAAACAGTACTTTACAGTGATTGTGAAAACTGTATTACTGTACAAAGTAAATATATACAGATACCTATTAAAGCTAAAGAAGTCATTTAGTTAAGAGCAATGACAGATTGTCTCTTTTGTTGCTGTTTTTTGACTAACATTATTAACCCTCTGGGGTTCCTCATTTTAGACTCACACTCAGGACCTTCGGGTCAAAAATGACCCGGAGGGCGGCATTAAGATACATTTTATTTGAGTAAAATCAATGAAATATATTTTTGTTCAATAATATTTTTTCTTTTCTTTTTTGGTGTTTTGAGATAATTTTATAATTTATAATTAATATTTATGCAATAATTAAGACCCATTTTTTTCCATTGAATATAATAGAAAATTTATATATATATATATAATTTAAAAAAAATTATTAAAGCTTTATTTCATTTTAGAGTCAAGTCTAGACCTCATGAAAGCAATTTTTGAAATGAGATCGGAGCCATCTGGTGGACACACTGAGCATTTTTATCACGCAATAGCACATTTTTACCACTAGTGGATTTACAGCTCTCTGTAGAAACCTATGGTAGAAACACTCTAGTGATTTTTTCACATATTGTTTAATTTTTTCAGGTTTTTGATTTGAATATATAATAACAGATTCTCAAAGACTATATTTGTCATTTTTTTTAATTTTTAAAAAAACATTTTTTTTGGTTGGTTTAAATGGTAATTTTAAGTGGCAGTTTTACTTTATAATACAGTCAAACCTGAACATTACATTATAAAGAGAACAAATGGAAAAAAAATTGTCACCCATTGTTTTAAGAGATTCACCCCTTCACTGTTGTGTGCTTTTTTTCTGCATCGTGGCTGTTTTGTAGATTGTATGCACACAAAAACTCTGTATTTTCACATTTTTGCCAATTTCCCATTCATTTCCTATGGGGGTCATTTTTGACCCGAAGACCCTGAGTGTGACTATTTTTTTTTAAAAATAGTCGGGCTGGACGTCAAGCTCCACCTACTGGCTCTGCAGTGAGCAGCCTATGGTTATAGTTGTGGTAATTTTTAGAATTATATCTTTAGAGAATTATGTCCTTGGTGTGAACGGGCCTTTATTCTTTATATATGCTGGTTGTCACTATAAGAGTATGCCCTCTATTGACAAAAGGTGTGCATTACGGTTCAGAAGCCATAGTTCAGCATTGCTTGTTTGTGTCAGAAGACAAGATATGTGTTTGGCTAAATCTTACAATAAAACTTTACAATAACATCATCTTAATGACACCATGCAGGCAAACAAGGTTTAAGCATGTTTAAATGATGTTCAATGATTAACAGCCATGTTCAATATTTTTAACAGTATAACTGACCTGAAGTCCCCTCCCATCCCGTTACATATACATATGCAGTAATGTGCAGTCAAAGGTGAGTATGAGATACATTCACACACACATAAACCATACACTAATTTGCAACAGTACTTTGGACAATCTGCCACATCACAAAAAAAAATTTTTTATACTGATCCAGAAAATAACAGATAGGTTTTAGTATTTAAAAGTATTTTATCTGTGGATAGAATTATTATAATTAATGCAATGATCATTTAATAATTCTGTGAATTAAGTTGAATTGATTTGCTATTGTGACGTCACTTCAAGAGACATCTGTAGATAGTAAGACTTAAAATCTTTTGACAGTAAATACCTAATGCATATTTATACAGGAATAAAACATGTAAACAAAATAAAATAGTAACTTAGCCTAAATTTGTGTCCACCATGAAAATACTTTTATCTTAAGTTGTATTTGGAAAATTTGAATGAGACCTTAATGCAGAAAACAAAATTCCACAAATATATATATACTATAAATATTTAATACACTTCTATTTAGCTGTTCATTTGAAAAAGAAAAGGGAAAAGAATAAAAAACTCATGAGAGACATTATGAAATAGTTGTAACTTTTATTGGAAATTCAGTGAAACAGAAATAATATGAAATCAGAGACATTTACATCACACTGCATTGTATTATTATGATTACTGTGAAAATATAAACTCGAGTGTGTTTAAAAACATGACTGGTGCAAAACACTACATACAGTATTACTTTTCTCAAGCAAGGATTTCCATAAAGATCAATTAAACGAGCTGTATTGAGCTAAAACAAAAATAAATATAATATTAATCTTTTCTGATATTTAAACAATTATGTAAGATATTTTTGCATGTTGAATTGTATGAATAGTAAATTTTTTTTACAAAAAACATTTTAAAAAACAAAATATATAATATAGAACTATTTAAAGTTGTATATGTATTCTTATCCATGCTCTATCTCTCTATCTCTCTCTTGTCTGCATTGCTTATTTTCTCTTTATCTTTATGATATCAGATAAAAATGTCATATGAAAGTAAACGACACATATACTACTCCAACAAGCTAAAAATTAAATGCAATACACACCGTTTGTTGTTGTCATATCCACAGTAAAAAGCTTAATTAGCTTATCTGCGGGTTCACTGAGTTTGTGTGGTTATGCGTTCAACTCTTAAACAGAGTAGATGATACAATAAATCATGATCTCACTTCACATTATAACTTTATGTATTTTTAAATGTTTGGCAAACTCCTCACTAATCTAAGCGGTTATTTCTTCTGTATATTGAGACATCTTGCATGCCACATTTCAGGCAGCTCTAAATATAAACATGACTATCAGCTGAATTATTTCCATTTTATAAATTTGACACATATTCATTTCACACAAATATTAAGTGTTGTTTGAAAAGACAAGGATCACTATAACAGGGTTAGTGATCTGAACAAACAAATAACTCTGTAAGTATTGATCTTAACCCAGTCACTATTCGCAATATGGACATGAATAATACCTGAACTATAACAGAATAGAGACAGAATACCATAATATATATATATATATATATATATATATATATATATATATATATATATATATATATATATATATATATATATATATATAGCATCAATCATTGAAAAAAAAAAACTTAAATATAATATATAATAAAATATATATTTCTATATTAATATATTTTGTATCACACACACACTGAAAAAAATACTTAAACAAATATACTATATAATAAAATATAGGCTATGTTTTTATATTAATATATTTTGCGTTACACACACACACACACACACACGATCACAAAAGCTGTAGTCTGAAAGTGATACGATCTGGCTGTCAAGTACAATTACAATTGCTACATCATCATCATCATACCAGGAAAATAAAATGCTTTTTAAGTGCGTGATTACACTGTAGCTAAATTTGTACCTTCAGCGTGGAACAATGTAATAAACTGTCCACATCTCTCTTCTACTTAATGGTCAGTGTTCCCTACAGATAC